GAACATGAGTACAGCTAAAAGGCTTCATTTACCAACAAACACTACTGCGAAAGACCCTGAAAAACAATTTCATGCAACTGAAATTATTAAAAATATTCAAAAAAGCTGCAGCAAATGAAAGATTTTTTGGCAGCAACAATCACAAAACACAAAATTCTGTATGGACTGTATAATATGCGAGTTTGGTGCAGTATGGCTCTCTTCCCTCCATGATTGTAAAATAAAATGTGATTGGTTGGAGCGAGAATATGCTACGATTGGTCAGCGCAACATGGCCGTTATCTGACTGGCTTGAGTAATCAGTGGGTGGACAAAAACAATACAATTATTGCCAAAAATAATAATCATCATCATGTTAGAAACTTGAGCGTAGCCTAGAGTATAAAACAAATTGGATGAACATAACTATAGGTTGAAAGTTATGCTTTATATTTTCCTAGCTATATTTGAAACACAATCATTTGACCAATCCTTCTTGTCTTTGTCTGATTATGCGAAAGGTACAAGAACCTCTACTGTTCAGCAGAAGTTAAAGACCAAGTGAAACAGGTGCATTTGGCTATGCTGGAGGGGGAGACCAGACATGCAGTTGATGAACCAGTTGCAGAAGCACCTGCATTACCTGGTCCTGTCAAAGATTTTATTTTTTATATATTATATATATATATATATATATAAAAAAATATAAATAAGATTGAGTGCCAGTGATTAGAACATGCTTAGGAAGTGCAAGTGGAACATGTCTTATTTATATCCCTCTCATATCTAGTGTCTGGTGTTCCCTTTGTTATTGAGGTGTGTGGTGTCATCATACCAAGATCTAAAGAGTTATGTAAGGTCTTCAGAGAAAAAGGTTGTGGATGCCTACGAGTCTGGCAAGGAATTTTAAAAGATCTCCAAATTATTTGACATACATCATTCCAGTGCAAGAAAAATCATCTACAATTGGTGCAAATTTCAAACAACTGCCAATTTGTCCAGGACCGGCCATCCCAGCAAATTCAGCCCATGAGCAGACCATCTGATGCAAAGAAGTCTCCAAGAACCCCAAAATTCCATCACACGATCTGCTAGTACGCCTTACAACTGTTGGTGTCAGAGTGCATTCTTCTAGAATCAGAAAGAGTTTGAGCAAATTTGACATGCATGGGAGATGTGCTAGGGAAAAGCCTGGATTTGAATCCCATCTGAACGTTGTGGGGTGTGGTGGGAGTCGGGGGATTAGAGATGGGCAGTACATGCAACAAAACCCTCAAACATCTTGCAACTGAAAGAATATTGCATGGAAGAGTGGTCAATAATTCCATCGCGTCGATGTCATAGTCAGGTGGACAATTTTTCAAAACATCTACAAGAAATTATTTCTGCTCAAGCAGACAATACTAGCTTCTGAGGCCAAGAGTGTACTTACTTTTTCCACAGAAGAATCACATCTATTGTTATTTCTGTTGAATAAATGGTTGAAAAAGCTCATTTTCCTTATGGCTTCGTTCATGTACATCAACCCCATTAATAAGAACTGTGTCAAAGATGATCAAATGTTTGCATGTCCAAATATGTAAAAAAAATTCCGCATGGGGTGTACTTATTTTTTCCACGACTGTATTTATACTTTACAGTTAAATTTATATTAAAGATTCACATAAAAAATTTAACGTTTACACTTAGCTTTTTTTTTAAGTCATAAAATTATCATGAAAAAAAAAACATAAAAAAAAATGCCATAATGCTTGTGTGTGTAAATTTAGCTAAATTGATCCCTTTTTGTAGTTAAATCTGACAACAATTGAGCAGTTTCTGTTAGACATTTTATTTGACAAACGGCACCCCATACACCTGGCTGTATCCTACTCACTCACCATCATGCTGCACGGCCAACCTGAAATGGTTCTCCACATGGTTTTTAAAGCTCAATAGCGATGCTGATTTGTTGACATACGTCTCACAAAAAGGGCAGTGATACAATTTACAGCACGTTGTGCACCTTGAGATCAAGGGTCGCTCTCCTTTTTTAAGAACAGTAGCATGCATCTGGAACAAAAACAATTACAAGTAAGTATTGATTATTGATCTGAGTTTATTTTACATAAGCCCTGCAGATTCAATACAATTCATTACTTTTATTTACAGAAGTATATGATTACAGTGAGAATCGAAGTGTGCTGAACTTCTAGAAAGTTTACCTACATCCGATCAATTTATTAATGCATCAAGCACGAATACATGGCAAGCTGATAAGCTGCATTACCAGGAACAAACATCACATTTAAAACTGAAGCGTCGCGTGGCTTCTGTAAACTAAAGCCCCGCCCTCTTTGATTTCATTGGCCATTAAAAAAAATATTGTCATCCTAAAATCATACGTAGCAGTGCATAATTGAGTGCAGCAGAGCAGCATCAAAAAAAATCCAACACTGAGTGGTACAATTTGGCGATATCTGATTATTACTGCGGTCCAGCCAGCCTCCACTTCCCAAAACTCGCAAAACTGCACATATATACTATTGATTGCGGTAACAGTTTTGGAACAGATTTCAAAATAAAACCGCCGATTCAGTCATTAAGTCTCAAACAATATAAGAACAAAAAACCAAACGAATGCATACATTCTCATATATATATATATATATATATATAAAATAAGATAAAAACTAAAATCAGCATGCACCGTGTTATTTTGTAACGTCAGATGTTTATTACAAATAAACCCTTTGCTTTCACGTCAGAATAAGTGAAATAACCACCTCAGAGTGCAATAACAGAAAATCACTGCACACATGACGTTTCAGAGGACTTTCATTTAGAAACGAAACAGAGTCAGTGAGGTGGCATACTCTTTTTCCCCCCTGAATTTAAATTAGTGTGTGAAAACAGAAGGTTTATATTTTTAATAAATACCCGAAGTTACAAAATAAGAGCGCATTATTTTAGTTAGCAGGATTTATGTATTTTAGTTTTTTTATATGCATTCATTAGGTTTGATGATATTTTTATTGATTTAATCGATGCAAACTCACCTTCACTATACAATTGGTTTTATTTTGAAATCTGTTCGCACGCGCTAAGACCGCAATACGACTATATATGAGCACCACAATTCACCGTGCGTGATACTGTGTAGCCTGACCGTGTTTTGGGAAGTGGGGGCTAGCTTGCCCGCAGTTGGTTACTGGGTTACATGTCCCCCCTCAATGTCTGTAATGGTTTCGGCCCTGCCAGGAACAAGCATGTTTATATCGCTTCGGAAACCTCACACTAAATCATATGATCAAAATATAAAAGGAAAAATACAGCTTTGAATAAGATAAAACGCGATTTCACAACCAGATGGAACTGCTTACCGACATACTGTCTCTGCCGTCAATCACTCCATCATGTTCCTGCCACTTTCCTGTTGAAATTCATTTGCACATGCGTGATTCCTCTTATTCTACTTCTTTTAAGGTTTAATTGCGGCTGGCAAAGCAGCTTTGGTGCATTACCGCCACCAACTGGATTAGAGTGTGGAGCACCGATAGGAGATCTAAAAAAGTCCATATTTCAAACTTAAATCCTGTTATACAAGCCTGTTAAACTTAGATAATTTAATAATGTAGTATATAGCAGGGTTTTCCCTAGGTTTTCAGAGGGCTTAGGTGCTGAATGGGTTCCAGGGGTGGTGGTGGTTTGAAATTGTTTGAAAGAAATTTTTCATATTGTTTTTTTGACCCATATCCTTATTGTATTTGTGAAAGAAAGCTGCCAACACTTTTATGTACTTATGGTCAAAAGTCTATTCATGTCACCAAGTAACATGTTTGAGATTAATGAAAATAAATGCCTTTTTACGTTCATTCGGCTTACGCTTAAAAACTCTGAGGTGCTGTGCCTAAGCCTTTCTCTGGTAAGGAAAACCCTGTATATTTTCCCTTGTACTGGACCACTTTTTAAAAAGACTGCATTGTAATGTTGATTACAACCATATAGTGCTGCAGGAATGAGTCCTAATGCCCAGAAATGAGTTTCAACACTTCCAGTGTTTTTTTTTTAATTGAATTTGATCAAGGAAACATACAAACAAACATATCTTGTGCATAATAGCAACAGGGGGATACATCACACAACTCCAAATTCATAATAAATTATAACACTGATATGTCATATTGAACAAAGTACTCTATTCAAAAGAGATGTATTCCTAGACTTCATGCTATCACCATAAAACATTTTTTTTTAAATCTATACAAAAAATAATCCTGAAATTGGGTTTGATGGCTGTTACCTGTCTCTTTATGCAAATAAAATTTCCCAAGCAAAATTAACAATTTTATAGTGTCATCGATGATAGAAACTATAGTTGTACTATAGCGTTTTATCTATTGCAATTATTATATGAAATGCCTGAAATAAGCTCTAAGGTTAACACAAGCTCAAGATATTTTCATGTTTTATTCTACAACATAAAATACATCAGTAAAACCCCACGCATTATTTTGTTAAGCTTTTATGGGTCTTGAAAAAGGCAGTTGGTAACAAGTGGATAAATGGGACTACAGAGGTTGTCAGGAATAATAAACGTCATCACGCCGAACAGGAAAACTAATCTACTACAGCCTCGTTGTGTTTATACTCGTGCTCTTGCAAAGTATTCCAACTCAAACTTTCCAACTTGTAAATGTATCAATTTATAGTATTTTCCAATTCTATTGTTTTTTAAAATAAGGATTGAAAGAGTTGTTGGAAGCTTAGTGGTGGTGATGAAGTCATGTGACTGTGGTGTAGTTTGTTTGTAGCCTAACTTTAGCTTTTTACTGCTGGTGATTACATTTAGGCTTCAAAATTCATAAAAGTTGCGTTCATTTGTGAAGATTACATTGATGAACAAAACGTGTAAGAATCATAAACCTTTGTTGGTCACAGAGCTTATTTTGTGCAATAATCCAAAAGCCAGTAGGAAAAAAAAGAAAAAGATTTTTGTGGAGGGAACCAGGGTGATGCTAACTACCAGGTTTCCCTACAAAAACAGGGTAGCTCAGTTGTTAAGACATTGGGTTACTGATCAGAAGGTTGTGAGTTCAAATCCCAGCCCTGCCAAACTGCCTCTACCTTGTATAAATATAAGTCATGCTGGATAAGGGTGTCTGTCAAATGCTATAAATGTAAATACATCACCTCGGCAGCACTCTATTGAGTAACTTTTGCTTAAGTTCAGATCTGAAATTTTTTCATATGCTGTACAGTGAAGGAGCACATGTTCCACTGTCTCTCTTGCAGCTGAAGTATTGCCCTGCTCTTCCACACCATCAATTCTTTACTTATAGGTCTGTGACAGATGACGTTAGAAGCAAGATTGTATTGGTACCGCATTGTAATGGAAATCCATTGGTACTACCAAGCCAGGAAGCATGACACAAAAGCAATGCTTTTACTTCGTTTTTAATAGTGCGTAACTGTTCCACTGCTTCTTACAATGGATGTTGCAAAACACATCTCTAAGAACTCTGATTTCAGTGCTCAAAAATCTTTCCAGTAATTCTCTCCACTGAACAAGGCACACGAAAGTCCATGACTTAAAATTTGTCGTTTTATAAAAAAAAAAATCTGTGCACAATTGTGCAACCAGGTAATTGAACTTTTTTTTTTTACTTTTAAAATTTGTCAAACTGTTTTTACATGAATTTCGATGGTTGCTGTATCACATGGAAGGTGGAAAAAGATTTATTTATTTCAAACAATTTATCTTGGATCCTTCCCCCCCCCCTTCCATCACAGAAACTAGCTATTTTAACACGTGTATAAAAATTTTTATATCCATGCTGTCTGGGTAAAATTATTCATGAACATTCCAGTTTCAAGTACTGTGCTGGTGACATCCAGATAAATGTTTCAACAAAAAAACAGATGACAAACACAATTTCCTCGTTCTTAGCTTCTTAGAAGTGACAGTACTTTCTAGTTTGTAATAAGTAAGCTTTCTAGTTACATAGAGACACAATGGTTGACCTTTCAGTTATGTTATGTGTAGCAGTGAATGCCCTGGTGTGATTATTGACCACAGAGTCTCATTTGAGCATATGCAGACAATATGAACAGGTTACCTTTTTTAATCTCTGAAACATTGCTAAGAAATTATACAATGCCATTACATAAAGCAGAAAAACTAGTTAATGTTGTAGGTAGCAAAATGTCTTGTAACATCGTATAGCCTGGATGTATAAACAAGCCCCAGTTAGTCCAGAAGAAAGTGTCCATACTAGAACCAGAATGTTTGATCAGATCACCCTACGATACATTGGATCACAGTAAAGAATCACACAGGGCACAAAGTAGAATGAAGGATCTGTAAAGCACTGGATGATCTCGCCTCATGGGAACCAAGTGTAATTTTGGCCTATTATAATCTGCCACAGTTCCTTCGATCAAGAGGTGCAGGGTCTTTATTAGTACCCAGAATAACAAAAACTATAAAGTTTCACCCAAGTCTCACCCATGTGTCACTGGATAATCTCATCTGCAAACTGTAAACTTGTCATTTCTAAGAGCTGCTGCTGTAATCATAAAGTCTGCCAAGTCTTTAAAAAATATATTTTTCCTCTCTAAAGTAATGAGCTTCACCTGGTGGAATAAAAAAAAAAAAAAAAAACTTATAAAAAACAACAATGCTATCCAATTCATGACTCCACTTTCCGACATTTCAATAACATGCATGTCAGTACACAAAATTACAGTTTCCTATTTCTCACACCAAAATAACTAGACTACTCTCTTTTTTGTGGGCAAGAATAAACACTTTATTTTTCATAACATAATTACAACAAACCTATTAAATAATTAAAAGAATCACATTAAAAAATCCAAAGGGATGTACAAAGAAAAAACTGAGCTTGTAAGCGATAGTATTTAAGAATAACTGCTAAATACATTTACCTTCCTGTATACACATACGTTTCTATAAGTAACTGAAAATTAAAGCATATAACAATGTACACAAGAAATGTTTAAAATCACCACAATCATGTTTCATCTTGATCTTTAATGTTCGAAATCTTACAGAATTGCATGCTTATTAAAGCATAAAATATATCACTAACCTGGTTTCAAGTAGCTACACTGACATGTTTGATGCTGTACATAAATAGTGTCCTTGTGTGATCCTGTACGTCTTGATGTCAAATGTTATGTACTTGTGTAGCTGGTCTCTAGAGAAGTTTGCAGTGAGATGTGATGTTTTAAGACATTCAGAGTCAATCACATTTAGGAAACATTGAAGGAACTGAGGTTGACGATGTCCTCTTAGTTTTGCTGCCTGGGTGTCATTCAATCATCACGGAGATCTTTTGGAGAGGCTAGAAATTGTGGTGAACAGCATGTTCCTGACAGTGAAGCACTATACCAACTACCATAATTCTACAGTAGTTCATAGTAGCTTTACTTCATATATATATAAAGGGGGGGGGGCAATATAGTGTCTTAGCATGGCATTGGGGTCCACTACGAGCTTAACAGCCACAGTGCACCTTAGCATTGATTCAACAAGTCTCTGGAGCTCTTCCAAATGATATTCCATCAGTTGGTGTTTTGATGATGGGGGTGGAAATCACAGGTCCAAAACCTCCAAATCAGGGCTTCCTGGAGATCTGCCTTCCTGAAGACTTTAGCTCCAACTATAATCATGTCCACCTGACCATCTAATAATTGCCGTAAGAAGTTCTTGATCAATTAAAAGAGGTGTATAAGTTTTTGGTTGGAGATGAAAGCTGCAGGAAGGTAGATATCCAGGAACAGGGTTGGTGACCACTGCTCTAAGTGTTCAATTGAATTGAGATCCGTTGAGTGTGAAGACCATATGAGATCATTTTCATCCTCAAAAAACAATTCAGTGAGCTCTCGTGCCCTGTGAATGGGGCAGAGTCATCCTTGAAGAGACCACTCCCATCAGGAAAGAAATGTTTCATCGTAATGGATAAAGCTGATCAGTCAGGAGAACTTTGTATGTATTTGTCATGATGCTTCCCTCTTAGGGGAGCCAAAACATACCAGCAAAATAAATAAATGCTCCCAAACCACAACAAAGCTACCTTTAGTGTAGTGGTCAAGCATTCAGGCCTGAACCATTCTCTGTACACCACACATGCACCCGCTCCAACTAATCGAGAATATGATGAAGGATGACTTATCACTTTTTTTCTGATTCACTGCAGACCTCTGTTTTTTTAATGTTCGTAACCAGGGGTTTATACACTGGAACCCTGCTGTATCCCTCTCTTTGGAGTTGTCGACGGACCGTTCTTGTGGACACAGTCTGAACACGCTTTGCGTTGATGTTCTCCGTCACCTGAATAACTGTTGCTGTTTTGTTTTTCTCGACATATCGCACTAATGCACGAGCATCACGGTCACTGAATCTGCGCTTTCGCCCACAATTTCCAGCTCTGTTTACTGACGTCTTTCCCATAGACCTAAAAGCAGAGGTCACTTTAGTCACCGTTCCTATCGATACACAAGCCAGTTGAGCAATCTTCGTGACTGAAGCTCCTGCCATCCGTGCCCCAATAATGAACCCTCTTTCAAAGTCACTTAGATCTTTTCCTCTTACCATTGTGATCCAAAATCGAGCTCATGTGAGTCTGCTCAGCATTTTTATACATGATGGAGCACTGTATGGTGATAATGATCAGGCCGTACTCTGGTCCGGAAGCATCCACATTTGGATTCTCTTTTCATTTGTTCAGGTTTGTCCTTTAATTTCTCATCAGTCTGTATGGATGCCCAAATATTATGGAATGTTACAAATCAATCAATAAATCCTATGGCACCATAGACTTTCCAATTAACATGCTGTAATCTGAAAGAAAATCAAGTCCCATCACCATATGAAGGTCTAGTCCCGTTGGAGGAGGTTAAATCATCCCCATTAGCAACATTTAACAAGCATCCTGAGCAAAAGAAAGAAAACACAAACATTCAACCACAGTCTATAGAACAACAATATAGCAGAGATTTAAATGAAAGACCTGATCACACCTAGAACACTGGCGTAGCCAATATTATTTGCATCTGAACATATTATATAAAAGCTGCAGTACGGAACTTTTTGGTTAAAAATGAACAAAAATCAATTATTGAGCATAATAAGTACCAGTCTACTATATCATGTGTGTGAGGGCTGAGGATGGTGGAGTGTTTGTAGCTTGTTCTTAAAACAGTTGTTTAGAAATTAAACCTGTCGTCTAGATAGCTGCAGGAATCACCTTTTGTCAAAACCAAGAAACCTTGAACTGTGGAGAGGCTGTGATCAAAAAGGGAAAGCAACAGAGTCTGTGCTAAAACAAGAAGAAATACCGGCATGGCTTTTGAGAGGTGGCGAAAACTCAGATCTGAATGGATTGAAGACTGATGCAGAAATGGCTTTTTTACCTGCTGAACAGGTGTGACATTTCAGTGGCTCAATAGGTAGCTAGCTAACATTAGCACACTTGTTCGCTTGATTCAGTTAGATATCAAGTTTCCTATGTTGCATTTTTGTTTGTTTTTTGCTGGGGTCGTTGTGGTAAATTACACTTATTTTCTGCTAGCTATTAGAGAGAGCAATTCACCTCCATTTCAAGAAAACCGTATCCACCGCCACCTCCGTTGTCAAGTATTGGAGTAAATACACAACCTATATGAATACCTCAAACCAGTGCATAAGCACAATCCATGTAAAAAATAAAATTGCAAGTTACTTGCGCAGTTATGTTTCAGAGATAGCGATAGAGATGGCGATAGAGAGGCAAAGGTTCAGTACTGCAGCTTTAAGAAAAGTTTTTAGTACAAAAATCTTTAAATATTAACAACCATACTATTGGTGCTCTGGTCATTTCAGTTCAGATGGTTGCGAGTACGATACAGCTTTTATACAGTTCTTTAAACAAGAAATTAATATTGAGTAACTGATGTTGCAGACACAATATGGCCAAATGTACCGTTTATTTTTGCTCCGCCAGCAGAAATAGATCCCAAAAATGACACACTCTGGGCATTTTCCCACCTGGCTCATTTGGAGCGTTTGTTTTGGAACCTGGTGCATTTTCTCCCTTGGTTCGGTTCATTTA